TGTGAATGCAGGTCGTATCATGAAGGAGAAGGAAGCCTTGCAGTTTTGCAAGAAGCACAACATCAAAGTTATCTCCTGCAGGTGGGTTACGAACAGTAAGCCTGAAGCCGACGAAGGAGTTCGTGCTCGGATAGTCGTGAAAGATTTCGCTAAAGGTCAGAAGACCGCCAGGCAGGAAGGTATTTCTTCCCCCACACCCTCGATTGAGTCGCTACGGCTTCTGTTGGGAGCGGCAACGGGTATGTGGACTGGTGGAAAAGGTTTCAACCTTTATGCGATTGACGTCAGTCAGGCGTTCATGAATTCACCGCTCACTGTGAAGGTTTGTGTCCGGCTTCCATCATCAATCAGCACACTTGACAATGAACCGGTTTTCCTTGAGGCTTACAAGGGTTTGAATGGACTTCGTATCGCAAGTTTGACTTGGGTTCTGTTCTTTGATGGGATTGTCAAAAGCGTTGGCATCCGATCTGGACTTGTCGAGCCATGCTTGTACGGTGGGATGGTACGGGGTGCCCCCATCCTTGTCATCTGTTATGTTGATGACCTGTTGGTTGCCACGCCCAGCGAGGCTGCGTATCGTGTTCTGTTTGAAGCTCTTGAGAAGCAGGTCAAGATCCGAGAGACTGGCCGAGTGACCATGTCTGGTGGTTCATTGAAGTTTCTAGGCCGTACCATCCTCCGAGAGAAGGGAAGCTCAGGTTTGCAGTTGTTTGTCGACCAGGATTATCTGAACAGTGCGTTCGAGGAGTATGGAATCTCCAAAGGTTCCACTGCATTTCCTGATCTTCGTCCATTTTTGGAGCAGACACTGCAAGAAGAGCCTATCAGCGCTGAGGCGCACTCCAAGTTCAGGAGAGTTCTTGGACGTTTGTCATGGCTGGCACAGACCCGACAGGATATCTTGATCCTGATTGCAATGCTGTCGACTGGACAATCTTGTCCAAAGCCAGGCCATGAGAAAGCTCTGCGAGCCGTGCTTCGATTTATGTTGTTGCACATGAAGATGTCCCAGAAATTTCCCTCACCTGGACTTGAGGACCTTTCTGAGAAGGACATCGGTCTGGAAGTTTATAGTGATGCTGGATTTGCCCCTATGCAAGCTACTCAGAGGAGAAGCATCACTGGATGTGTTATTGTTTTCCGATGTGTTGTTTTGAAGTGTTTCTCTCGACATCAGGCATCTGTGACGTTGAGTTCATGCGAGGCAGAGCTCGTTGCCGTTCAGGCAGCTGTCCAAGAAGCCATTGGTTTGCTGAGAAGTCTGAGTTTTGTCCTGCGTCGCATTCAGGTATATCCACCGTCTTCATCGAGGACGACAGTTTGGATTTTGTCTGTCCAATCCTCTTGTGGACCGACTCCCTGAGTGGGAAGATGCTTTTGGAAGGTTCCGACCTCCAGCGTAGGTCAAGACATATCGATATCAAAGTGAACTGGTTGAGGGAACTTTTGGCAAAAGAGATTTTGCAAATTGGGCATGTCCGAGGAACTGGAAACGTCGCTGACCATTTTACCAAATGTTTGCCGACGATCAAAGCGTTGCAGTACATGGAGGTACTTGGTTTTTCGTCGTTTGAAGGTATTCTTTTGGACTGTTTGCTCGATTTTGAAATCTGCGACAACAGTTTTTCAGGTATTTTGTGTGCGTTTTCAACCAGAAACTGCATGCGGGGTGGACGTGTCCATCGTAGTGGGACAGCAAGGGCTGTACGTTTCATTTATGAGGGGGGTGTCACTAAAGTATTTAGTGACACCCTCCGTTTGTGTTTACCTTGTTTGTCTGTTGGTTTGTTTGCTTGCTTGTTTCAACCTTCCGAACAAATCAACTTTCTGAATGGTGCATACCGTTCACTACTGGGAATGTATTTCCCAGGCTTGTATTTTGTACGTAGATAACTTTCCCAATTTGTTGAGTGAACGTATTTCACTTAACGGGGAGTTGCGTTTTGTAGTAGGATCTTTTCGGAGACATATCTTCCCACTTATTTGGGATACCTTTTGGTGAAGGTATTTCACCACATCGATTAGTTCCGGTGAAAGTATTTCACCGGGGTTCTGAAATGTGGGTACAAAGTTTCGTTATGTCAGCAACAGCTGGCTCCAAGGGGTCCTTCAATGAAAGGGCTGTAGGGAGTACGCCCAACGCACTTGGGCATCGTGTGACGCGATGGAGCCAGTGGAACGCCCCAGAGGTTTCAGGGCCAGATGGAGGGCGCGAGGAGCTGCGTCGGAAGTTGGCCCTGAGCTGGATGGGGATGGAGCCCAAGACTGGGAGGAGGTCGGCTTAGAAGATGAGGGCCCACCGGAAGCTGAGGAGCCGGTGACGCCTCAGACAGAAAAGGAAGTACGGCAGAGGTTGGACGTCATTGACGCCCAGCTCCAACGGGCAGTCGAGCACGTGACGCCAGAGGAGTTGGAGACCTACTGGGCGGCATTGCCTGCCAAGATCAAAGAGCTGGTCACCTTGAAAGGTGAGGTCTCAGCTGATCTCTTGGCTTACATAGCCGACACGGATGAGGATAGGATGAGCATCCTGAGAGAATGTGGATGCCCAGAACACGAGGTGGTTGAGAAGGCCATCGTCTTGGAAGCGCTGCAGATGGCGGCAGAGGAGAAGGCCGCGAGACTGAGGAGGAACCGCATCTCCAAGAGGGGTGCTCAGATGGCCCTGGAAGTGACAGCCAAGGTCAAGGCAAAGAAGCAGCGAGAAGGTGGGGACCTCCTAGAAGGGGAGCAACCGACCAAGTCATGGTTGGAAAAGCACTCAGGTGCGATCCTCCGTCGACGGAGGAGGAGGTCAACTGACCCGGAGTTGGATGTGGATGAAGCCCAGGCCGTCAAGATTAGAGAGCGGCAACAATGGGAGGTGGAGGCAGACAAGGTCGTGGAGGTCCTGGAGGACAACGTCGACCTCCCAATAGTCAGGGGGGCAGAGGACTCGAGAGACCAAAGAGTTCTTGAAGGCAGCAGTCGGGTCTTATCGGGCCTCCACGCTCCGGAAAAGGCTCAGAGAGTGGAGGAAGTACCTCACCTGGTTGGAGATAGTGCACCAAGTGAGATGGCCCTCACGGAAAGCGCATGCCATCGACTACTTGGTGGAGCTGAGACTCAGTGAGGCGCCGCCGACAGTGCCGCAGTCGTTTGGGACGACGTTGGCGTTCTTCGAGAGGGCAGCGGGCATTGGACCGGAAGCTGCCATCTCGTCGGATGTCGCGTTCAAGCGGGCCCTGGATATGACCAACAAGGAGATGGAGCAGAGAAAGCCTGAGAAGAAGCAGGCCCCGTTGCTGCCGCTGAAGGTCATAGCAGCAATGGAGATGCTGGTCATGAGTGTAGCCAATGGGACCTTTGTGAGGTTCGCGGCATGGTGCAAGCTGGTGAAGATATGGACAGCCAGCAGAACGGACGATCTCCAGGGGATATCGTTGAGGAGCATGAAGTTCAACAAGGCCGGACTCCGTGGGATCTTCTGGAAGACCAAGGTCTCCGGTCCGGGGAAGAAGAACAAGGTCCTCCCCTTCATGATCAGCAGCAGGGTGAGCATCACAGGGCTCCCATGGCTGAAAACGGGGATGGACATCTTGGAGGAGAAATACTGGTATCCCCGAGACTACCTGATGCCCATGTACCCTTGTGGGTTGGAGGAGCTGGAGGAAAGACGCCCTGCGACCTACGATGACTTCGTGGTGATGACGAGGGTGGTATACTCCAGGCTCAAGGAGTGCTTCTTCGAAGATGGGCGGTGGGTGTCAGGGAGAGGGCCACTGCTCCTGCCGGAGTTGTACAAGCTCTGGACGGAACACTCAGAGCACAACTGGGTAGTCTCCATGGCAGCCTCCTCAGGAATCCCGAGGGAAGAGAGGCAAATGCTGGGCCGGTGGGCCGTGAAAGAGAGTGGAGATGAGTATGTCAGGTCGGCGCAGAGGATCGTGGCCAGGATCCAATGCAGCCTGCTTGACAAGCTCCGGAGCGACAGGGAGTGGGAGCTGAGGAATTCAGGATTGGAGGAAGTGAAGGAGTACGTGACCAAGGCGAGGTATGATGAAGCCTCGGTCAGCAGGCAGATGGAGAAGCTTGAAATGCCGGAAGTGTGGACGCCGGTGGAGCTGGACGACACTTTCTTGGGGATGGTGGAAAGACCCCCTGGAATTGAGGCGGAAGAGATGGGGAAGCAAGGGCAAGACATGCCAGAAGAGGCGCCGCCCATCTCGGAGGTGATGGAGGAAAAACTGCCGGATGACGGAGTTGGAAGCGAAGAGGACGATGTGGACGTCCGGGGAAAGTTCTTCGTCGCCATTAACGTGCGCAACCGGCACAGGAAGCTCCATATCTGGGGCAAGTGCGGCACAAAGCCGGGACAGAACTTCTCGGCATACGAGCCCCATGACAGCCTGAAGGGCGTCGAGTTCAACTCCATCTGCGGTCACTGCTGGAAGGGCAAAGCCCCGACGGAAGCAGAAGACAGCTCGACGACGTCTAGCTCGAGCGACATGGACTGATGGTGTAAAAAGAAAAAGGAGAGTTTGGGAGGGACGGGCGACCCACCCAAAAGGGACCACAGCTGTTGGCACGGCGAACCCGGGAAGGGGCGTGGTCGACAGGCCGAGTGAAGCCCCAGGGAACCCGGGGTGTGCCAAAGGAAGTGGCCGGGAGGGGGTCAAGTATTGATCCCAGCGAACCCGGACCAAGTGTCAGTGAAACTTGGTTAGAGGCCCGGAACTTGGGTAAAGGATTTACCCAGGGGGGCGAGTGGCGATCTGATGCCGCTGGGGTTTTCTGTCATGGCCAAGCGATGGCACAAAGTATTTGTGTCGGCGTAGACTTATGGGGCCAAGCAAGCGTTGACAGAAAGATAACATAGCAGGTCAACATTTAGGCACACGTGAAGGTGTAGGGCTTACACCGCATGGTTTATAGGCACCTGACAGCAAGCATTGCTGTTTCTGGGGATTTCCGTGATAGGTGTAGAAAGTTTTTCTCACCTAGGGCAATCTCGAGCCATGCCACTGCTGTTGCTGACGGGGGTGCAAGCCCAGGCAGCGATGGAAGCTGCGGATTCGGACCTGAAATACCTGCTGTCCGAAGTGGGCGTTGGGATTGATGAGACCCGAGCAGAGGTGCGAGGGGCGCTCAATGATGAGATTGGGCTAGACCACACGGCAGGTAATGCCGAGAGGCGCAACACCGCCCTGGTCCTCAGCGCTTGGGAGACAGCAAAGACACAACAGAAGTCCAATGATGAGAACAGGGCAGAAGCAAGGGCAGCGATGGTGCCCCGGCCCGTGCCGGTCAGCGAGCATGCAATGCTCAGAGAGGCCCTGGAGAACCAGATAGGACGCCTGAGGGACTACGAGGTGCCTGCAAAGAGCCTCATTGCGGCGAAGTTAGATGACATCGAGACCAACATGCCGAAGCTTGAGGACCTCAGGGACGTGGCATCAGTAGAAGATGGCGAAGCAGATCTTCTCCAAGGCAGCCTTGATGCCTCGACAGGTACCTTCAAGACGAAGGCTGCAAGGAACACAGTGACCATGCCCAAGACGGCAGAGGAACTACGTTTGAGGCATCGCAGAATCGGGTTAGCCTGGGAAATGGCCAGAACGAAGCATAAGAACCGGGTCTGGCTACAGGGAGGCTTGGTGGAGTGCTACCGCCATCTGAGCGACCATGTGCTCGGAAAGCACGTGCATGGCCTGAACTTGCCAGGGCCACATGACCACCCAAGGTGGGAGCTGGTGCTCGGTTACGAGCAAGAGGTAAGGAAGCGAGCCTATCAACTGATCAGGCGGGGGGACGAGCCCACCTTGGAAGCTGCGATGAGAAGGGCCATCAGCGACCCGGAGACCATGAACCTGCACTTCGTGGTGCCACTTACCACCAGCTTGGCGAGCTCTGGAAGTGGAGGGGGTGGGTGCCCTGCTGGCACTGCAGCGAAGCCGGGGCAGAGTGGCCCCCAGAGCCCTGGAAAAGGCTCCAAAGGAGCTGGCCGCACCGCCAAGGGCGTGAAGAAACTCCAGGTGAAGACCCCCGATGGAAGGCCACTTTGTTTTAAGTATAACAATAACAACAAGTGCAGTAGCAAGAATTGCAACTTCGTGCACCAATGCCACAGGTGCCTGGGGAACCACCCCAAGTCGGCCTGCAACACCCTCAAGGGCGACACGGCCAAGAGGAGCACACCGCCAGCTGAAGGCGGCAACTGAGAGGAGAGAGCAAAACAGGTTTCACCCGTTTCATCGGCGCCGCAGAAGAGCGTCAGGGTCCTTTACATGTTCTCAGGCGCACCCCGCAAAAGTGATGTGCGCAGCTGCCTCGAAAAGTTGTGCGACTCTAAAGGAGTCAAGTTAGAGATGACAGAGATCGACCTGCAAATATCAGATGACCATGACATGTCTGATGAGGATCGGTGGCAGGAGTTGGTCACCAAAATCAAGAGAGGGGACTTCGATATCATCATCATGTCTCCACCGTGTTCAACATGGTCCAGAGCCGTTTGGGCGAATAGACTTGGGCCCAAGCCAGTTAGGTCGAGGGAATTCCCGTTTGGCTTCCCTTGGCTCAAATCGGACCTCAAGGAGAAAGCGGACTTAGGCACTACGCTAGTCTTGAGATCCGGGAGTAAGCTAAACAATTGGTTTTTAAAATTAATTTCTTTTATAAAAAACTATGATTTCTTTATGAAAAAATATAATTTTTTATGATGAAATTTATGATTTGTTTTTTTGTCTGAAAACAGTTTATGATTTTTTATGATTTTTTCTTTTTTTTTAATGTTTTTTTCGTTTTTTTTTATGATTTTTTTAATGATTTTTTTAATGATTTTTTTATGATTTTTTTTTGATTTTTTGAAAATGTTTTTTTTAATGAAAATTTATGATTTTTTATGAAAAAATGTTTTTTTTTTAAACGGTTTGTTTTATGTTTTTTTTTATGATTTTTTAAAATGTTTTTTGTGTTTTATGAAACACTATGTTTTTTTTATGTTTTTTTTTGATTTTTTTTATGATTTTTTTTGTATTTTATGAAAAAACATGTTTTTTATGAGAAATATATATGATTGTATTTATGATTTTGAAAAAATGGTTTTTGTGTTTTATGAAATATGACAATTTCTATGTTTTTTTAATTTAATTTATTTTGTTTTTTCATGATTGTGATGATTTTTATGTTTTTTCTTTTTTATGATGTTGTGTTTGATTTTTTATTTTTTTGTTTTTCTTTTCTAAATAACTGACTGGAGAACATTGAGCGAACAATAACTTCGCATGTTTTTTTATTTCAAACGCATGGAGAACAAACAAACAACAACGTTTTTTTATTTCACACACATGGAGAACATTGAACAAACATTGACTTTGCATTTATTTATTTATTTAAATTTATTTTGGCGTTGGCTTTAGGATTGGTGGTTTTTTGACCACTGGTGAGCGAAAAACGAATTGAACAGCAAATTTTGCAGATATCTCAAACTGCACCAACTGCTGCATGATGGCAGGCAGTGAGGTGTCAGTGATGACTTACGAACAAAAAAACAAATTATGTGGTGTGTGTGTGTGTGTGTGGGGGGGGGGGCAGGGCGATGCCAATGTTGGGGCTAGTTGGTCAACGAACAGTGTCACAATTTTTTCCGGGGCTAGTGGCCAGCAAGTAACTTGCATCCAGTTGCTAGCAACAAATAACTAGCAACTAGCAACTAACGACAACCAGTGACTAGCTGCGAGTAGCTTAGCTAGCAAGCAGCTAGCTAGCAACAAGCAACAACTGGCAGCTAGCAACTAACAGCTAGTTAGCAGCAGTAAACTTGATTTTTTTTTGCTATGACAAAATTTGTTGAGCAACTATTTGCTGTAAGGAGGCAACTGACTAAACCTATGCTGTGTGATGAAAAACCTGGGAAGGAAACATGTTTAGGCCAAACAGGGAAAGTCAGTATTGAAACACTTCACTACCTTCACTACCTTTAGGGTTCCAAGATTTCAGGCCAGCAGCAAGGATCCAAAACCCTAAACCCTAAACCCTAAACTCTAAGGAGCTCCGGGGGCAGGGTGACACCCTGTAGATGGGCGCTTAAGGGGTCATAAAAATTCATAAAAAAATCATAAAAATCATCATAAAAAAATCATTAAAAAAAACATAAAAAATCATAAAAAAATCATAAAACTAAATACATATGTTTTTTTTTATGATCAATTTTATGATTTGTGTGATTTTTATGATTTTTTTAATGATTTTTTTAATGATTTTTTTAATGATTTTTATTTTTCTTTATGATTTTTTTATGATTTTTTAAAATGATTTTTTATGTTTTTTTATAATTTTTTTATGGATTGGTTCAGGAAAGCAACGTCCCAGGCTCCAGGCTTGAGGCTCTAGAATCTCCGACCTGAGGCCTTAGGCTCCAGGCTCGAGGCTCTAGAATCTCCGACCTGAGGCCTTAGGCTCCAGGCTCGAGGCTCTAGAATCTCGGACCTGAGGCCTTAAGTTCCAGGCTTGAGGCTTTAGAATCTCGGACCTGACGCCTTAGAGAATCTCGGACCTGACGCCTTAGGCTCCAGGCTTGAGGCTCTAGAATCTCCGACCTGAGGCCTTAGGCTCCAGGCTCGAGGCTCTAGAATCTCCGACCTGAGGCCTTAGGCTCCAGGCTCGAGGCTCTAGAATCTCGGACCTGAGGCCTTAAGTTCCAGGCTTGAGGCTCTAGAATCTCGGACCTGAGGCCTTAGAGAATCTCGGACCTGACGCCTTAGGCTCCAGGCTTGAGGCTCTAGAATCTCGGACCTGAGGCCTTAGGCTCAGGCTTGAGGCTCTAGAATCTCGGATCTGGGGCCTTAAGTTTCAGGCTTGAGGCCCTAGGCTTTAGGCCTCAGGCTTGAGACCTTTGTGACTTAGCGGGCAGCTGGCATTAAAGAAGTGAATACCGAGAAAAGAAACTAGCCTTAGGATAGGTCACAAATTTTGAACTGATGATGCACCTTGCCCAGCACAAAGCTGGACCCATGAACAAAACTCTGAACTGTTTTTTTAGGAACATGATGGCGTTTGGTTTCTATGGATTTGACATCAAACAAAATTTCTTACCACAGGCCTTTGGGCCTAGAACCATTATTGGCCAAATCCTGGCGACGTTAAAGATAAAAATAAACACATGAACAATTAAAAAACATTAACAAAGACAAAAAACAACATTGAAAAAAATCATTCAAAAACATTACAAAACACAAATCATGAACAACGTACAAAATCAAAAAAAACAAAAATCATACAATTCATAAAAATCATAAAGCAATCATAACAAATCATTAAAAAATCACAAAAATCCGTATAAAAACACCAAAAAAATCAAAACATATTAAAGCACATTAAAAAAATAAGATAAAAATTAGAAAAAACATAAGAAAATCATAAGATTCTTCAAAATATAAAAACCCATAAAAAACTTTTTTTAAAAAAACCATAAAAAAAATCATAAAAAATCATATTTTTCATAAAAAATCATAAATTTTCATAAAAATATCATAAAATTTCATTTAAAAAAATCATTTTCAAAGAATCATAAAAAATCATAAAAAACACATAAAAACAAGTGAAAAAACAAAAAAATCATAAAAAAACCATAAACAAAATCATAAAAAAAATCATAAAAAATATATAAAAATCATAAAAATTTTAAAAAAAAATCATAAAAAATCATATCCATTTTCACCATTTTTTTCAAATCATATCCTAAAAATCATAAATATTCATAAAAAAATCATAAAAGAAAATAATCAATAAAACAATTGTTTAGCTAATGTTTTGGATCTCAACGCTAGTCCTGCGTTGTGTTGAAACGCTGGAGGTGGCACCGCACCAGACAATTTGTCTATGGGAGCACCCGGAAGACTTGGGCCGAGCCCGAAATGGAACGCCAGCCAGCGTCTGGCAGCTTGAAGCTCTGCGCACAGCAGCAAAGAAACGCGGCATGGACACCATTGCCTTCCATCAATGTGAGTATGGAGCAGACTACCCAAAGCCAACACGCTTTTTGAGTGATGCAAAAGGCTTGCTTCAACTGGGCTTTGGGGGTTGGCCCGTCTTCAACAAGGACCTGTACTACCTCGGCCCATTGCCTCGATCATGTGGACATTCCCATCAGCCTTTAATCGGGACAGAAAATGGAGGAGGCTTCAAAACCGGGCCAACCGCAGCATACCCACCAGCGATGAACAACATGATCGCCTCCTTGCTCTTCAATGACTGGATACAGCGCCAGCCCACGACGCCTACCGGAGGGGGTGAAAGCCAACCAAGTTACGCGAGGGCTGACAGGAGAGAAACACAGAATGAGGACCCAGCCCTGGGAAAGGGGTCGGATGAGGACCCAGCCCTGGAATTGGCGAAGGTGGCTGAGCGAGGACAAGGATCCTACGCTATGAGAGGGCCGGGGCAGAAAATTTTCCATGATGGAGCGGGCTTGTGTTCACAAGGGAATAGGAGACCAGCCTTCAGAGAAATTTCAGAGATGAGCAAACTGGGGGAAGAATTCCTCGCCTTGACGACGGAGAAGGAACTTAGAGAAGACCTTTACAGATTGGCCCTTGGAAGATGTGAAAAGCCTCCCTTCCGAGAGGGGGTGGTGGAAGCAGCCCGGGAAGCCTGGCTTAGGCGCCTCTCAGAGACAAGGGGGGCAGAGATGGAGGCCTTGAGGCGTGTGGAACCGAGGCAACCTTTCATGCTGACGGCCATCGGTGAACACCTCAGGATCATTGGTGACCCGGACTGGCGGGCCTTCAGTGCGGGGCCGGACACTTTCAGATCCGGAGTGCCTTTAGGGGTCCAAGGCATGCCTCGGGTTCCAGAGGTCTTTGAGGCCAAGGAGAAGTGGAGAAAGTATGAGCCAGTGCCGTGGCCGACCGACAAGGCCAACTATACCTCGGCCTTGGACAATGCGTTAGCGGTGCAAAAGCAGTTCCGCAAAGAGGAGGCACTTGGGGCCATGGTGGAAGTGACTGAGGGTGCAGCCAGGGAGAAGTACGGGGGGAGGCTCCGAGTGGCGGCCTTGGCAGCTTTGGAAAAGGCGGACCACAGTTTCAGGGTGGTGCATGATGCTACCCACAACGTGGGAGTCAACGCCCAGATCAAAGTGGAGGACCAGCTGCGATACCCAGGGCCATCGGAGATCAAGATGGCAATGCAGGCCTTGTTCCCCCCGACCTTCGTTCTGGCGGCGGACATCGCAAGGGCTCACCGGCTTGTCTTAGTGAAAGAGGAAGACTGGGGCTACCAGGCTTGCCGTACAGGGGTCGACGATGAAGGAAGACCCAGTGACAAAATATGGCTTAACGCAGTGGGGACCTTTGGGGTGACGTCGGCCAGCTACCACTTCACCCGTCTCTTTGCTGCTGTCACCCGATGTGCCCACTCCCTCTTGGCCCGGCGTGATAGTTGCCAGCTGACCTACGTGGATGACCTCTTATTCATGGCAAACGGCCTAGGTGGGTTGTCAGCTGTTTGGGTGGCCCTGCTGTTCCTGATGGTGGTAGGAACACCTTTCTCGTGGAGGAAGTTTCAAGGAGGAACGAGGGCAGAGTGGATTGGGTTCCAGGTTGATGTGTCGTCCCGAGAGCTGGGGATGACTGAAAAGCGGCTCAGGTGGGCGAGGGACTGGTTGGAACGCACCATTGCCAACAAGGTCGTGCGCGTGGAGGAGTTCAGGTCGGCACTGGGCCGATTGGCTTTTATGATGTCGGCCTTCGTGCACCTGAAGCCGTTATTGGGCCCGCTTTACTCCTGGGTCACGGCGGTGGATCACTGCAATACGCTCCAAGTCCCGGCGGCGGTTATCTTAATCCTGATGTTCCTCAAGGCCACGATGATACCTGAGATTGCCCGCACAAAAGTCCGGGTCACACCGGAGTTGGAAGGCGACCACATCTTCAGATCCGACGCAAAGGCGGAAGGTGAGAACGTGGTCCTTGGGGGCTGGTGCTGCGGAGACTCCCCGGAGAGAGGGAAGTGTCGCTGGTTTTCAGTGAAACTTGACAGAGGCAATGCTCCGTGGGTCTTCGAATCAGGGGAGCCCTACCGAGCCATTGCCTCGCTGGAGCTCCTGGGGACTTTAGCATCGGTCACCGCCTTTCCCCCGAAGAAGGATAGCGCCAGGAACTTCTACCTTTCGGCGGGAACGGACAACTTAGGGAATCGACATCTGGTGTCCCGTTTCCTCACAACGAAGTTCCCGTTGTGCGTTGTGCTGATGCAGCTGGCTTGGACGCTACATTGCAAGGACTTAGAGCTCCGGCTGGACTGGCTGCCGAGGTTACAGAACCGAGAGGCAGATGCACTCACCAATGGTGACTTTACAGGTTTTGATCCGGATCTACGCGTCGAGATCAAGCCGGAGGACCTTTTAGACGACCAGTTCAAAGAACTACTGAGGAAAGGAGGTGAGCTCTTTGACGAAATCAAAGAACTCAGGAAGAAGAGGAAGGAAGGGGAGATAAAATCGCTCCCTGCCAGCAAGAAGCCCAAAGGGGCGGAGCTGATTGGTCCGTGGTGACCCGAAGACGTCATTGAGGGGGGATGAGAGTGAAGGCGCTTCGGTTCCATGTATTGGGACGGAAGGAGCTGCCGGAGTCATCCCTCTTGACTTGATCTCGGGCACTCGACCAATAAGAAAATGGAAAAGGAAATTAATATCAAGACCGCAAGGGTTGAATTTAAGAAGGGTATGTACTACCCAAGATTAATAATTAAGTTGACAACTGCGCCAACTGGTTTCGTTGCGACGTATACATGCGTTGACTGACCAAAAGGTATTTTTGGTCAGTATGGTAATGGGACGTACCGACCGGGTGTCACGCGGGGTGGACGTGTCCATCGTAGTGGGACAGCAAGGGCTGTACGTTTCATTTATGAGGGGGGTGTCACTAAAGTATTTAGTGACACCCTCCGTTTGTGTTTACCTTGTTTGTCTGTTGGTTTGTTTGCTTGCTTGTTTCAACCTTCCGAACAAATCAACTTTCTGAATGGTGCATACCGTTCACTACTGGGAATGTATTTCCCAGGCTTGTATTTTGTACGTAGATAACTTTCCCAATTTGTTGAGTGAACGTATTTCACTTAACGGGGAGTTGCGTTTTGTAGTAGGATCTTTTCGGAGACATATCTTCCCACTTATTTGGGATACCTTTTGGTGAAGGTATTTCACCACATCGATTAGTTCCGGTGAAAGTATTTCACCGGGGTTCTGAAACTGTGGGTACAAAGTTTCGTTATGTCAGCAACAGCTGGCTCCAAGGGGTCCTTCAATGAAAGGGCTCCCACCCACCCGCACCTAGGGGGGATGAGAGTGAAGGCGCTTCGGTTCCATGTATTGGGACGGAAGGAGCTGCCGGAGTCATCCCTCTTGACTTGATCTCGGGCACTCGACCAATAAGAAAATGGAAAAGGAAATTAATATCAAGACCGCAAGGGTTGAATTTAAGAAGGGTATGTACTACCCAAGATTAATAATTAAGTTGACAACTGCGCCAACTGGTTTCGTTGCGACGTATACATGCGTTGACTGACCAAAAGGTATTTTTGGTCAGTATGGTAATGGGACGTACCGACCGGGTGTCACGTTTTGTGGAGAGTTGATTTGTGAAGAACCTGCAAATTCAACAACTTGTGAATTGTCGCCGTTTCCACGTTCATGCACTCAGATGATCAATGCACTTGTAGCTGTTTGCGAAAGGTTTCAAGGCGAGGGAATCGGTTCCGCTATGGCTGGACGTATCCCTGCAGAACGAGAAGAGCCCAGAGCGCCGGACAGCCATGCGCTCCTTGGGCATCCAACAGCTGAAGGTGTCGGTGCGGCACCTGAGTCTGATGATACGGTTACCATCATAGGTGGTGAAGCCAATACTGCGACTGTTGCGGTGACATCTGCAGAGGCAGTGGTGTCAGCTGCTGAAGAGGTTGTGGCAGTGCCGAAGGCAGCAGAGGCTGCAGCTCCCCCTGCCGCTACTGAGGCGGTACCTGGTGCAGCAGAGGCTGCAGTTGTCGAGGCTGAGGGCGTTGTGGAGTTCACTCCAAAGAAAGCTCAGCCGCCGAGACCCAAGAAGAAAGCCATGCCTGATCGAGGCAGACCTGTGGAGAAAGCTGGACCGTCAGAGAGGTCTCAGGCCCCTGGACGTGAACCTGCTGTGAAGAGGATGCCCAGGAAGCCTGGTCGGTTTGTGATTCAGGTGAAGAAAGAGGCCTGTGAGGCCACTGGTTTGCTGAAGAGACGACGCGAGGCTGGTCGTCGTAAGGCCAAGCGTCAGGCTTGGAAGAACAGGCAGAAGGAGGCACTCGCATTCTTCGCTGCGCAGAGGAGAGAAGAAGAATCGATGCCAACACCTACGTATGAGGTTGTGACAGGGTCGAGACTGCCAGGTCAGAGAAGGGTCGTCCGAAGGATGTACAACCCTCAGTCAAACAGGAGAGAGGAGTTGCAGATCGAAACAAGGAACCCGAAATCTGAGGAAGACAAAGGACCCGCCTTTGTGAGGTCTTTCAGTGGATTCAGCTGGAAGAATCCGAAGGGTCTGAAGTGTGGCCATTGTGGTCAGAGAGGCCACATTATCTCTCAGTGCCCTGAGATGGAGCGAAGGGTGAGCCTTACTCATGGGCGTGTGACTTTAACGCCAAGAGGACAGCACCAGCCAGACTCCACTGTGGGCGATGAGGTTGCCCCGGGTGATTCAATTTCACAGGTTGGATTGACCCAGGAGTCACTACGAATGCACAACAAGAGGCTGAGAGGCCACGGTTGGTCCGAGGAGGCCCCAGCAGCCGCAGGTAGCCCTCCAAGAGCCCGTCAGAGGACTGGGATGGGTCCCCCTCAGACGCCACCGAAGAGAAGCGGCCAGTTTCCGGCCAGCAGCAATGCGGCAGTGGCGATGGGTCCAAAGCCGCCTGCACACCCGCCGAAGGGGTGGGTTCCGCAAGGGCCACAGCAACCACCGGCACCACCCATCTCTGGGAAGGCCCCTCCAGCGAAGCCTTCTCCAGCCAAGGGCCCACTACCACCACCGCCAGCGCCACCAGCGCCACCTCAGGTACCACCGCCACCGCCAGCTCCAGCACGAGTTTCAAGTGCGCCAAAGACGCCACCCAAGACGCCTCCAAAGGCGAAAGCTGGAGAGCCCACATCGCCTAAGGCGAGCCCAGGTGCAAAGGCAGCACCAGCTGTGGATTTGGTTACTCCGAAGAGCCAGGGAGACCACCCCAGCGTCGTATGGAAGCCTGCATAGCATGTCATGGCAGTGGAGAGCTTCCGATGCGAGCGAATCGGAGGCTGTTCAGGTTGTTGACATCGTCAACAGCGTCAGCAGCAACTGCGAATGCAGCTGCTCGAGTTGGAGCAACGGCCAGTGTTTTGTCTGCAATTTCAGGTTCGAGTTCTTCAGAAGCTGATGTGACCCATTTCAAGAGTGAAAGGGGGGTAGGTCTTTTTGTTGAGCTAGCCTGCAGCAAAGCCAGTGTCTTGTCAGCTGCATGCGCTGAGAGCCGTGCTTGTTATGTTGGAGTTCATGGAAATCTTGAGAAGGTAGCTACACAGAATCATGTTGCAGATCTTGTGAACCAGGTGATGGAGGAGTTGAAGATGACCAGATCAGCCTCTGATCGAGAGCTGGGAGAGGTGCATTTGTTCTGTCACGTTCACATGTCATTGCCGTGCACAGGTGGATCTCCATTGCAGAATTTTTCGGGTGGGAAAAGAGTCCCAGAGCATGAGCGAAAGTTTTTCGAACTTCTAGCCGCTTGTGAAAAGTTGTTGGATCGGTTAGTAGAAAGACATCCCGAGTTGTCTATGTCTTTTGAATTGCCAAATTCCAACAGGTATTGGACTCATCCGAAGCTGCAAGCCTTTGTTCAGGCCAGAATTCCATTCAGGTCTGTTGTCCATGCTTGTGCAATGGGAATTGAAGGACTGCCAGGATTACCCATCAAGAAAGCGTTCAGGATCATGTCAAGTTCCGAGGAGCTTACTTGGATGACCGGCGTGGTTGTTATGTAGATAGTGTTGCATAGTGTACATAGTAAGTCCTTCGTAACTTGCATTAACTCAGTTTGTAAGTTGTTGTAAGTCATGTAAGCCAGCCTGGTTTACATACTAAGTAGCCAGCGCTAGGATAACTAATTACTTTGTGCACCATCTAGTTAGTACCTACTTATGCTCTTAAGCTATAAGTTCAATATGTATGGTTGGCAAAGAAAGGTAGTAGTTAATATCTTCTGTAAGTGTACTATAAGTATACGTATGGCTTACTTATAAAGCCGTTTTGGCGTACTTAGTAAGTGTGCCTTTGGCCTACTTAGTAAGCTCGCCCCGGCCTACTTAGTAAGCTCGCCCCGGCCTACTTAGTAAGTCCGCCACAGCCTACTTAGTAAGTCCACCAAGCCTGGGAAAAATTATGATCTTGACTCAACCGTACTGAATATCTTAAAAAAAAATAGACTGGCCAAAATAAAAAAAAATATGGCTGATGAAATTGATGGTTAGCGTTTTTTTTGTTGAAGGGACGTTTCTGTTTAGGCAGAATGAAAAAAAACACAACACATTTTTTTGATATGGTTTGCATTTTATTCAGCAAGAGGCGCTGAAACCATTTTTTTCCCAACAAATGTTGCTTCGAATTTGGCGTCGGCATCCTCTGTGTTTTGGGGATGTGGTTTCAAGAACTGAGAGATGCATATTGTATGATGGTCGACCTTTTGATTTGAGAACATATAGGTTAGAAACTGAGGCAGGTTCAAAACTAACGCAGTTGGGTCTGATGGCTCGCTGCCGACAAATCAGACAACAGCAATCTTTTGCTGGAATCAACTTGCAAAGTTATATTGCGCCCAGAAAGCATCAGCGCAAAACGTTTTTCTGCACTACAGTTCTTTTTTTGGGGGTTTTGAAGCAATGATTCCACTGCTGGTCCGTAGGGCGGCAAGGATTGAAAAGAATGCGCTGTACCAGCATCAACACGGCAAGCTGCAGGTCAAAAACCCTGCATCTCCAACATTTTGTGCATGTTTTTTTGGTGTTCGAGTTGCAAAACAGTCAAGTCGTGCAAAGCCGCCACCAGTGCCAAAAATTCTAACATGTTCTTGGCGCATTTTTTCAGCAAAAAAACAAGATCAACAACCACAGAGCCACACAAGTGTTCGAAAATGCACTTTTGAAAACACTTGCAGCTATATAGGCACTGCCGAGCAGTTCACTCACAAATAGTTGATTCAGGTAGACTTAATGGTACATATTGAACTTTGAAAATGAATTTCACATTCACTGGAAGTGTAGATCGATGAGTCAGCTGCCTTGGATTTCGGTTTTGAAGGAAAAAAAATCAAGTGTGACGCAGGGCCACTGATTTTTTGCCGTCCACTGATCGTGTAATGTCAGTTTACATGTTGTGTTTATGGCCACGTGAGTAGTCTTACAATGCCAAGATGGTTAAAGGCTGCGACTGAAACTTATGCATTGGATTTATTGGATTGATAGAGAGCTCTGATCATCGACGAATCTGGTTTATACCT